GGCGGCTGTGAGGTCCAACAGGACAAGCAGCACAGAATCACCAGTATCTGTGAATCTGAAGATGTCGTTAAAGACCTTCAGCAGGGCAGTTTCAGTGCTGTGGAGAGGTTTAAAACCAGATTGGAAAAGCTCTAAGATGGCGTGATCCTCCAGGAAGCACTTCAACTGGGACTCGACTATTTTCTCCAGTACTTTAGAAACAAATGGGAGTTTGGAGACAGGCCAGAAGTTGGAAACAACTGAGGGGTCAAGGTTTGGTTTTTCAGGAGAGGCTGGACAGCAGCATGTTTAAAGGATTTTGGCACCACACCAGTGGATAAACTACTGTTTACTATAGCCAGAATGGACGGGTCTAGAGTTGGAAAAACCTCCTTTAGTAGTCGGGGGGGACCACATCAAAGGGGGAGCCAGAAGGTTTCAAACTGCACATGACCTGCTCTAGAGAAGATAGAGTGATGGGTTCAAAATGGTCAAAAGGAGCTACAGATTGAGGTGGGATGGATGGGTCATGAGTTGGAGGGGAAATGAGAGCCCTGGTGGTCGCAATTTTTTCCAAAAAGAAATATAGGAAGTTGTCGCACAGCTCAGTCGAGGCTTCCAGAGGTGATGGTTCAGTGAGGTGGAGAACAGAGTTTAGGGTGGAGAAGAGGACACGTGGGTTGTGAGAGTTTGAGGTAATTATATCAGAGAAGAATTTTGATTTAGCAGCTTTTACTGCTTTCTGATAACAGCGCCAACTCTCTTTAAGTATTTGGAAAGAGACCTGCAGCCTGTCTTTCCTCCACTTTCGTTCCGCCCTCCTACACTGCTGCCTAACGGCCTTGGTGAAGTCACTCAGCCAAGGTTCAGCTCTGAGTTTTGATTTTCTAGTTTTAACAGGCGCAACATGATCCAGAGTCTTTAAGCAGACAGAGTTGAACTGGGATGTCAGCTCCTCAGTGGTGGTGAGAAACACTGGGGGCTGAATTATCATTTCAGAGTTACAAACATCTGTGAAACGTGTGGCAGTGAAGTGGTTAATGGTCCGGGTGCTACATGCAGGAATGCACGACTTAGGAGTTAGATGGGGGAGGGTGAACTCAAATTGGACTGGCATGTGGTCTGAAAAAACATTATCACCAATAACAAGATTACTAACAGTCACATCATGAGTTAAAACAAGGTCCAGTGTATGTCCGCACTCTTGGGTGGGACCGTTTACATGCTGAGTTAAATTAAATGAGTCCAATAAATCTAAAAAGTCCTTAACCAAGGGCTTCTCAGGACAGCACACGTGCAAATTAAAGTCCCCAATAATGAAAACATGCTAATATTTTGGTGTGATTTCAGCCAAGAAGTCAGAAAACTCATTTATGAAATCCTTAGGAGGTACGTTGATAATGGTCTAATAAATAAGCGACTTCGGTGACAGAAAAACGAAGATCCAAAAGTTGTTGTCTGTCATACACCAGCAGAGAGTTGCTGTCACAGATGAGAAATGCAAAAAACAAAAATAATCTGAACACCATCAGCAGAGGTGGATTGCAAGCCATGTACATGGGCGCCATCTTACCGGCCAACCAATGACATATATACATATATATATATATATATATATATATATACACACACTAGATGCCCTGTTGAACGGGCTGGCCCACTGCAACAGTATGTCAGAGCGTCCGCCATTTTACATATGGCGGAACTGCTAGTCAGATATGGACAGAACGTCAAAAAGCACCATTCTAAGTGTTTTAGGTTGATTGCCTGTCATTTGCACACACTAATATATATGGAAAACAAACAGGCACCAAAGACAACATTTATAACTTTTAACGTTAAAGAAAAAATAAGTTTTTGTCACTGTCTCCCATCCTGAATAAGCACAAAGACAACAGTGGACAGTTGATGTTGTTGATTTATACTTGATCAGTTTTGACTATTTTGTGGAGGTCAGTTTATTTTATTCAAATCAAAAATCATTTTAAAATTCATGTTGTATGAGAACTTAAAATGAGTGGAATGTTGTGTAAAATGTAAATAAAACAGATCACAGTGATTTGCAAATCTCTTGAAGCCAACTGTGCCAACGTTTGAAACTGTGCCTGCAGTCAACCTACTTCACATATGGGGAGCAATATTATAGGCAGAAACATGGGTGTGCTATGGGGTCTACAGTTTCTCCTATTGTGGCCAACCTTTACATGGAGGAGGTAGAAAAGAGAGCCTTGACGTCCTTTTCAGGGACACCACCAATCACCCTTTGGAGCACAAGTTAGGAGTCATCAGGACTCTGTACCACAGAGCAGACAGCGTACCCACTAGCTCAGGAGCCAGGCAGAAGGAGAAATCCCACACAAGACAGGCTCTAGAGCAATGTGGATATCCTAACTGGGCCTTCCTGAAAGCAGAGAAGAAACCCAAACAGGACTCCAGTCAGCCAACAGGTGAAAAGGAGGAACCCAGACCCAGACCAGTGGTCATTCCGTATGTTGAGGGGGTATCAGAGAAACTGAGACGTTTATTTTCTAAACACAACGTCCCAGACTGAGGAAGTCTCTTGGATGAGAGACGAAACGTTTCTACATTTTTTTGTTGTTTTACTTTGTTTTGTTTTTTTGAATGTCCAGAGGACCAGATTTAACTTTTTTAGACAACGTCCCAGTGGCTTTTAAACGCCAAAATACATTAAAGGCCTTCTCTGTAGCAGGACCAAGACTCTGGAACGAGTTACCTCTGCTTGTCAGACAGGCCCCCTCCCTCTCGGTTTTCAAGTCCCGTTTAAAAACTCACTACTATTCAGTAGCTTTCAACACCAGATGATCTGTGTTTTGATCCTGTATGCTCCACACTGGTTAGTCGTCATTATCTGCATCATTTTTATGTCTATATTCTGATTTACCTCTTTTTGTATTTTGCTTTGTGTGTTACCTGTTGTTCTGTCTGTACAGCACTTTGGTTGGCCTTGTCGCTGTTTTAAGTGCACTATAAATAAAGTGGTATGGTATGGTATGGTAAAGACTGGTTCACCCCAAAGATCCAGTCCCCCGGCACAAACAGAGTAATATTGTGTATGCTGTTCAGTGTCAGGAGGGTGATCAGTATTACATGGGGGAAACTGAACAGCCACTGGTCAAAAGGATGGCCCAGCACAGAAGAGCAACACCATCAGGCCAGGACTCTGCGGTCTACACTCATCTCCAGGCCAGCGGTCACTCTTTCAAGGATGAAGATGTGCACATCCTGGACAGAGAGGAATGATGGTTTGAGAGAGGAGTAACGGAGGCCATCTTTGTGAAAAGAAATCGTCCATCATTAAACAGGGGTGGAGGCCTCCAGGTTCAACTGTCCCCCTCTTACAATGCTGTGATTGCTAGTATCACTCAGCCCTCTGTGAATAGTAAACAGCCATCAGTGTGCTAATGATACATTGTTAGGCTGATGGTCCTTCTTGATCATGTGAGCAGCTGGTTTTGGTTGTCAGCAGCAAAACTGGTTGATCCACTCTGAGAAGGTGCTATTTATAAGACTGAGCTGAATACAGCACCTCAGACTGAGGAAGTCTCTCGGATGAAAGACAAAACGTTTCTACAATTTTGTTTGTTTTGCTTTGTTTTTTTTTGTTTGTTTTTTTTGAATGTCCAGAGGACCAGATTTAACTTTTTTAGAAGTTGTTGAGAGCTTTGCATGTTAGAAATAAGATTTTTAATTATATTCTGAATTTTATAGGAAGCCAATGGAGAGAAGCTAAAACTGGAGAAATATGATATATTCTATCAACTCTCATTAAAACTCTGGCAGCAGCATTTTGGAACAGCTGAAGACTTTGTAATAAAGTTTGTGGACTCCCAGAGAGTAAACAATTGTAATAGTCCAACCTAGACGTGTTAAATGTGTGAACCAGTTTTTCTGCATCATTTTTGGACAAGATTTTCTAATTGTAGTGATTTACGCAGGTGGAGGAAAGCAGGGAAGTGATGGCGCAGAGGTTAGAGAAGGTGGGCCTGTGATCAGAAGATCACCGGTTCAAGCCCCGGTACCGACAACATCAAAAATGTGGGTGGGATAGGTGACGCACCCACACCTACCCCTACCCTCATTCGCCCCACCTTGGGCCCTTGAGCAAAGCCCTTAACCCCCATTATCTGTGCCTCCGGGTGTCCTAGATAGCAGCTCTCTGCTCCACACAGAGGACTGTGGTAGCTCGGTGGTCTGTGGTTGCGTCAGGAAGGGCATCCGGCGTAAAAATAACTGCGAAGTCTTCGTGCGACTTAGTTCACTGTGGCGACCCCTGACAAAGGGAGCAGCCGAAAGAAGAAGAAAAAAAAACCGCAGGTGGAGGAAAGCATTTTTGGTAACATTTTTATGGGGGTTAAAAGATGCATTCTGATCAAAAATAACCCCAATGCTTTTAACTTTAGAACTGGAGACCAAATTAATGCCATCCAGAGACATTGAAAGACTGCAAGTTTTTTTCCTAAGATGCACAGGTCCAAAAACCACTACCTCTGTCTTGTCTGAATTTTAAAGCAGAAAATATCATGATCTGCATCAGTGTTGAAACCAAGTGCAGGAAGGCAACAAGAGACTCCAGGTAAAATGATTACCAGAATGTATTTCCTTTAAATGAACAAAACAAGACATAGATGGAGCAGCTAATTCACTTACTGGAGGACACAGAGGAAGGGAGACCATAAAGCCATTTGAAGGACAATCCAGAAACACTGACAAGACACCAAGGGGTTGAATATATACAGACAATAATGACGGTGAAATGACAGGTACCTGCAGAAATTAGATTGAACACAGGTAAGACAGAGCCGGAACACAGGAAGGAGGAACACTGAAGGGTGATTGGCAAACATGAGGAAACTTAAAAGACAGGACCAGACCCCAGAAACCCTACAGGACCCCCCCCCCCCCCCCCCCCCAAGGGATGCCCACTGAAATCACAAGGAGAGAGCTACATCCACTTGGGTGAGAAGTAGGAAAACAACAGGAAGTAGGGCACACAAAGGAACATGAGGAACAAGAAACAGAAGACTAACAGGTAGGAACCTGGGTAAATACTAAACACAAAAAGGAAACACAGAAACCCCAATCCCCAGAGTCAAGGTGGGCAGTCAGGAGACCGTCCAAAGCAGGACAGAAGATCTGGGGGGCGGCCTGGAGACCATCCATTTTCAGACCAGGCTTCTGGCATATTCCTTAGCAGACCAGAGTTCTGGTGGGTGGCTAGGAGACCTTCCCTTTAAGGGCAGCTGTAGCGTACACCTGGACCCTCCTGGACCCAGACAGAACAGGAGAGAGGAGATCCCTGTGAATGCCGTGGAGCCAGGTGTAAAGGCCACTGGAGAGGCCATGGCCACAGGTGATCAGGCCACTGGAGAAGCCTTGGATGCAGGTGACGATACCACTGGGGTGGCTGTGGCTATAGGCAATAAGGCTGCTGAAGAGATTGCGGCTGCAGGCGAACCAGCGATGGTGACCACAGCAGATGAAACATAAGTGAGAGCCACAGTAGGCAGACCAGACCAGTGGTGAAAGCCAACGCATAGCCACTGAAGGTAGACCAGCAAGGGGAGCCTTGGCAGGTGGACCAATGATCGGAGTCTCAGCAGGAGAACCAGCGATGGGAGACTTGGCAGGAGAAACCGCGATGGGAGCCTCAGTAAGAAAACCAGCAATGGGAGCCTTGGCAAGAGAACCCACGGTGGGAACCTCAGCAGGAGAACGGTGGGAGCCTCAGTTGGAGAACCAACGGTGGGAGCCTCAGCAGGAGAACCAATGGTGGGAGCCTCAGCAGTAGATGAGTCCGTTGAAGGGACTGTGGTTATGGCTGGACCCTGCAGATCTGCATCTGGAGGTGGTCTAACAGATTTTCATCTGGAGTCGGATCCAACAGGTTTACTTTAGGAGATGACCGCAGCAGCTTTGCATCAGAAGATGGACCCAGCAGTTCTGCGTCTAGAGATGGACTGTAAATGGGCTGTACTTATATACCACTTTTCTATCTGATTAAGATACTCAAAGTGCTTTACACTACAATCTGTGCCCTCATTTACCCATTCATACAGCACTCTACTACTTCTGTATAAAGAATAATCAGTGCTTTTTAATCACATTCATACACCAATGGGACACACATCAGAGGCATTGAGGAGTTCAGTGTCTTGCCCAGGGATACTTTGGCATGTGACTGCTATACAGTATTATTTTACTAAAGGAACTTCTTTCAACAGTCCTAACTCTAATTGTACTTGTATATTATTGGGAGGAGCTTTCCTTTTTTTGTGTGTTGTGATCGTTTCAGCCATCTCCTTTGTAATAGCCTTTGTGCAGCACTCTGCAAACTGGGAGATCTTCTCGTTATGTTTCTTTTCTGTGAGCAGCTCCTTGAAGGTATCCGGAAATGTGATCACTAGCTCTGCAATTGTAATTATTCTCACAATGGAGTTGTGGTCCACATTAATCTTGGTGAAGGCCTTTTTCATAGATCTAACCTTGCTGAATCTCTTCAGGGCACTCTCATATGGTATGGTATGAAGTTTATTCATTTTAAAAAAGTACAAAACAATTCCATAACAATATATAAAAAGATACAAAAAAATTTAAAATGAAAGGCAGCAGAAAGAAGAAAAAATCTTATTTTATCTGCCCCTTTTTTCAAACAATTATTTCAGACATATTAATTTTCAAGTAACAGAACAAAATGAATAACTTTCTAATTTTTCTAATTCTAATACAAAACACACACTAAGCTACTTCATATATACTTTTTTAACAATTCAGCTTTGATCTTTTTCTTAAATGTACACATTGACTTGACATTTTTTACATCACTCTCTAGAACATTCCACAATCCAACTCCTTGGATTGAGGTAGACCTTCCCTTCAGACTAGTTCTGAATTTTGGTTTGACAAATATTTCTATCCCCTTAAGATTGTAACAACTTTGTCTTTTAACAAAATTTCTTTGGATATTTAATGGTAATGTGTTATTTTGAGCCCTATACATAACTGATAAAATACTATAATCTACCAAATCATGGAACTTCAATAACTCCAGTTGATAAAATAATGTGCTTGATGGGTGACTGTAATGCTTTCTGGTGATAATTCTTACAGCTCTTTTCTGTAAAATAAAAATAGGTTTTGTAAATGTTTTACATGCTTTCCCCCAAACATCAATGCAATAGATTAAATGTGGAACAATGATTGTGTTATACAACATGTACAGAGCTTTATCATTTAATAATTCCCTGACTTTGTATAGTACTGCAATAGATTTAGATATTTTTGTTCTTACAGAATTGATGTGATTTTTCCATGTTAGCTGTTCATCAATGATTACACCCAAAAATTTCATCTCATTAACTCTACAAATCTCAACACCCTCAATTTTAAATGGATCATCAACAGTTCTCTTTTTGTTACTAAATATCATGTATTTAGTTTTATCTAAATTTAATGATAATTTATTAAGTTTAAACCAAGTTTGTATTTTATCAAATTCTGTCGTCATCAATTCCAACATCCGTTTTACATCTTTACCCAAACAAAAAAATGTGGTGTCATCTGCAAAAAGGACACATTTGAGGAGTCCTGATACATTCACTAAGTCATTCACATATAAAATAAATAACTTTGGTCCAAGTACAGAGCCTTGAGGAACTCCACAAGTGATATTGCACAGGTCAGATCTTACACCATTTATTTGTACAAACTGTTTTCTATCTTTCAAATATCTAGATACCCAGTGTAATGCTGGTCCTCTTATACCATATTTATTTAATTTTTCAAGGAGAATAGTGTGGTCAATAGTATCGAATGCTTTTTTAAAATCAACAAAAATACTAACACAATACTGTTTTTGATCGACAGCAGTAGTTATTTGTTCCATTATTTCCATGAGAGCCATTGATGTAGAGTTTTTTGCTCTAAACCCAGACTGACTGCTACTTAGAATGTTTTGTTTAGTAATAAATTTATCTAATCTGGTCACAAATAGTTTTTCTAGAATTTTTGAGAATTGTGGTAATAAGGATATTGGTCTATAATTATTGAACACACATTTATCACCATTTTTAAAGAGAGGAACTACCTTAGCTACTTTCATATTGTCTGGAAATATTCCTTTTGAAAATGATCAATTACAAATATATGTAAACGGCTCGATAACATAACTCATTATGTCCTTTACAAACATCATATCCATGTCCACCCAGTCTTTTGATCTCTTATCTGTAAGATTTTTTACAACATTCATTATTTCTTCTTTGTCAGTTCCATTAAGAAAAATACTGTTGTCACAACTTATAACGGAATGGTTCACATTATTGTCTACTTTTGGTATTTTAGCTGCAAGGCTTGATCCAACGTTCACAAAATGATGATTAAATCCATTTACAATTTCATTTTCTTCATGGATTTCATCGTCATCCTTCAAAAAATATTGTGAAATACCTGTTTTTGCTTTATGACTTTTCAGAACACTATTTATTACTTGCCATGTTGCTTTCATATCACCATTGCTTTTATTTAATAAATCACTATAATATTCCTTCTTGTGTTTCCTTATAATCGCTACTAATTTATTTTTATACTTCTTATATTTCTCTTCAGCCTCTTGTGTTCTCAATTTCAAGAAACATGTATACAAATAATTATTTTTTTACAAGCATTTCTCAACACTTTCGTCATCCATGGTTGATCAACAACATTTCTCTTTGTACAATTATTTTGCACACAATTCTTTTCATACAGAGCTCCTAAAATATTCATAAACTCATCATATGATCTGTTCACATCATCAACATACACGTCTTTCCAGCTTTGTTTATGTAAATCATCTTTTAATTTGTCCATTGCTTTTTTTGATGTGTTTATTGTTTTTTCCTTAATTGTAATTTCTTTTGTAATGCTTTGATCATTTTTATAAATCATGAAAACTGGTAAGTGATCACTTAAATCACTCATTAAAATACCTCCCATCACATCCCCATTTGTTACATTTGTGAAAATATTATCGATTATTGTAGCACTATGAGTTGTAATTCTTGTTGGTTTTGATATTAACAGATAAAGATTTAAACTATACAATGAATTTGTAAATGTACTGATGTTATTTGAATCTGTTTTATTTCCCAGGTCAATATTAAAGTCTCCACAGAAAAAAATGCTTTTATTAAAACTCTTGTCCAATAGTTGTACGATTTTATCAGTGAATATTTCTATATTTGATCCTGGAGATCGATATACACAACTTATTAATATGTTTTTATCATTCTTGTTTATTATTTCTATTGTTATTATTTCCATGATATTATCAACAACTATTGACATTTCATTAATTAATTTACATTTTATTTCATTTTTAACAAATAGAGCCACTCCACCACCTCTTTTGTTGCTTCTGTTCACATGATATAATTCATACCTTCCATGTGAACATTAGTTGTGTTTTCATCGTTGAGCCATGTCTCTGACAGTGCTATTATTGTAAAGGTTCTGTTTAGTTGTTTTAAATAATCTGTTATTTTGGATATATTTGCATTTATACTTCTACTATAAAAGTGAATAATAGAGAGACCTCCATTTGTTATATTGATGTCATTAAACTGTTCTTCATTGTAATATTCACAGTCTTGTATTTCAGAGAAAAAATTTGTATCCATCACATCTTCAACATTGTATATTTTAAACTCTGAGTCTTCGTATGTTGCCATATTATAATGTATTTGTTTGTTTTATATTTTGATTATTTATTGCTTGTGAAGTTGTGTCAATGATTTATCATCTATCATTTCCTGAGCTTATTTTAGTTTTTCCAGATCTTTCAGGTCTTTTATTATTTTAGCCTGAGATCCTTCCTGTATTTTGATCCAGATGTTTCCATTTCTTGTCCAAGTTGATGCTATTTTTTTCTGTTTTTTCAACCACCTTGCTTCACGTGCAATGTTTCCATTTTTTTTAGTTAGATGTTCATTTATGTCTGGTGATGACCCCATCCACTGTGTTCACTTAAGAAAAGTAACACAAACAAATAAACAAATATTATTAACTAAGCACTAAGATACTTATTAAGCTGCTGATACACTGGAGCAACTATATAAAGCAAATCTCTTCTGTTTTAAAATCTTTCTGATGGGGTTTCATGCTTTACATTTCGCGAGGATGTCACTGGGGTAGTCATCGAAATACACCCGCCTTCCTTTCAGCTGTATCACTTTTTTACACCATGCAGAAGGAAGCACAAGGTCCTTCACTGTTAACTCCAGAAAATGTATCACGATAAATCTGGAGTTAGAATTAGGTGGTGGTTTAGGGCTGTGGGACCTATGGCAGTGCTGTATGTCCAGTGTGATATCCATGAGGGAGAATTCAGTTTTTATAAAATTCTCT